TTGTCGTATCAAAAAACCTAAATTAAATTCTGCTCCAGTGAATGTGAATATATTTTGAGGATCATATCCAACATAAAACCACTGAGGCATTCTTCCACTTTTGGTGTCAGCTTTATTTTTGTTTTCTAAACTTCAGCAGCTCTAGAGATCTTCTTATATCAAATGCACTGTAAATCTTGTAAGCTCCTCTCAGCTCCTGGTCTCATAATCTTCAGGTCTCAGTTGCACACTCTTGGATCTAATGTACAGTGTTCGCATTGATGACTGACTCACATGCTGTTCTGTCACTTACTGAGTCCTTACCAAGACAATGAGATTCTAGTTGATTAGCCTTGATTAATGAAAGCTTATCAATCGCACTCAGGACATCAAGTCTTTCTCTTGGCACTTGCATAGAACAAACAATGATTTAAAGTCATCATGAAATTAAAATCAGCCAGATTTATTCGTTTGCCGTTATATATATAAGTTCACACCAAACTGCAACATGATCTGTCAGATAAAGATGTTTCTGGTCTTTAGTTTACCCTTCAGCAGGTGGCTGGCCATTGGCTGGGTCTGCAGGTTTCTCCTCTGGTTTGGGGGCCGGTTCTGGTGCTGCAGTCGGGCCCGCTGGTTCTGGTTGTGTGGCCGGTGCTGCTGGTTCTGGAGCCGGTGCTGAAACCAGTGCTGAGGCTATGAAGAAAAAAAGTGATTTAAAAGTAATTTTTTTCTTCATGACTCCCGACTGAAGGAAGATTCGGGGCACAGATGGAGGAGTGACTCCTGAAGCAGCTTACTGACCATCACACATGCCATTGAACCCATAACAAACACTACTGCAAGCAACCTGTGACAGACTGTAAGAATTATTTCAAATGCCTCTCATCTGGAAAATATCTTCTGCAGGTGCTCACGCAATGAATGATGAGATCATTTAGTGAATAATTACAATGATAACAGATGACTTACCAGGGCCTTCATCATCTTTCTTGTCTTCATTTTCCTTGTCTGCAGGTTTTACTTCCTGCCGGGTGCAGAGATTAATCATTATCCCAGAGCGCTTATGCAGTTAGAAAAACATTCTCATAAATGACGCATGATGGCTTCTATTATTTATAGATTGTTGAGTTAAATTGTCTATTTTAAATTACTCAAGCCTTTAGCTATAACTTTACATTTTTAATTGATGTTAGAACACTTTACATCCTGTACATCCTTGACATGGTGTTTGAGATAAAAAAACAATACCAAAAATGTTATATAGTTATTTTTGGGCTAACTCTTCATTTACACATTTTTATGAACTTTTTAACTAACCTTTATTTAAAATGATAGCTGAAATGTTTACTACATTTTATATGGCGTTAGCAAAACATTGCTAATTGGTTACCTGTACATGAGATAAAAAGCAGCAAAAATCTCCATAAAGTGCATTAGTATCTACCTTGGCAAGGGCCGGAGCAAGAGTTGGTGCAGGGGCCGACCTAGAGGCCGAGGCCGGGGTGGGACCCACAGTTGGACCCCCGATGATCTTCTTCAGCTTGCTGAACATGGCTCAGTGGCAGGCAGTGTCTGAGAAGATCTCTGTTGTGTTTATCCTTCTTGTGTGACCACGGCTTCAGTCCTACTAATGTTGCTGCCTGATGCAATTAGCACTTTTAGAACACTAATACCCATCTGCAAACAGACCTCAGAAGTGAGTTCAGGCCACAATTCATTACAGTGTCTGTCAACTGCAGAGTGAGTTCACACCTAGAGCCACAGATTTGTTATATATTTTAATATTTCATTGTTGTACAACTATTATATCATTTTATGAAGTTAGAAAACGTAATATTTCGAAAAATATTTTAACAAAAGATATCAAAGTGCTTGTTTCTGGTCAGTATAAACCATAAACATATATAATTTGATTCACAGTGTGTTTCTATAGTAATGCCTTTCTAAATCTCCATACAGTTCAGAGAATAGCAGCAAACTGTCATCAAGCTTGAGCAGATTTCACTGGTGGACCTGTGAGCTGTGCTGGATTAGTTCGGCCTGTATGGAGCGGTGGACCACTTACTTAATTAAACCTTATAAGCTTTTAGTTCAGCTGGGGGGATTTACTGTTGTGGTTTCACAGGGAACAGACGAGGCTAACAAGAAGAAGAAAAGACGTCTTTGATCTTACAGGCCTTCCATCTCTTTATTCTTTCCCTTTTAAAATTCAGAATGGAGCCATGTTAATTTTGTATTTCTGTTTCAGTGATTAAACTGGGTCAGAAAAGAGTAGAATAGTTCTTTATCTTTTATTATTTAAGGATGTGCTCATAATTCGCTGCTAATCCTTATTTGTTATTGGCCACTATAAGGTTAGAGCTAGGTTTTATTAATATTTTGAATTAGCTTTTATTTTTATATTTTCACATTTTATTTTAATTTGAGTTTATTTTAAGTAATTTTAATCTAATATTTATATTATATTTTATATTAGCTTTATTTCAATTAACAAAATGTTTTTAATAGTTGTAGTTAAAGGCACAATATGTAATTTTTCGCCACTAGAGGGCGCGTATTCAAAACGCGGAATCATGGGAGTTGTCGTCTTCATCCCCACAGCCGATGCAATCCGACGGGACTCGGGCAGAAATCATGTTCATGGATGAGCTAATGATTTATTAACGTATTAACGAAAGCAGCGGAGCTTTTATTATGCCACGCTTCCGCTCCTTCCGGTCGTGCATATGTGGGGAAAAAGCAGCACTGTTTTATCATACTAGATACATTTGAAAGTTCTGTTATAATGCTACTCTGTGCGGTCGTCACCGGTCTAATAAAAGGCATAACATATTAAAGCGTCTTTGGTGTTTCCATGTTTTCTAAAAAACAAAACCGGAAATCGAGGGGTTATGACGGCAGAAATCATGTTCATGGATGAGCTAATGATTTATTAACGTATTAACGAAAGCAGCGGAGCTTTTATTATGCCATGCTTCCGCTCCTTCCGGTCGTGCATATGTGGGAAAAAAGCAGCACTGTTTTATCATACTAGATACATTTGAAAGTTCTGTTATAATGCTACTCTGTGCGGTCGTCACCGGTCTAATAAAAGGCATAACATATTAAAGCGTCTTTGGTGTTTCCATGTTTTCTAAAAAACAAAACCGGAAATCGAGGGGTTATGACATCATTGGCAGGCGACACAATGACACTATGGAAACG